TGCCTCTGCAGCCAGCACGTTGTAAGGTTACGCTGCCAGTCACTTCTTGGCCCCAGAGCAACATCCATGGCGAACCCAGCCTTGTGTTGTGCTGGGCATGTGTACATCACAGATAAGATGAGCTTAACCCTGCCATTCGGTAAAAGTTGGCCCACATCTGCCGGCGTGCCAGAGAGAGGCTTTTGAACTGGGAAGCAGCAGTGGAAATAAATTTTGTTATCGCCATGCTGACTCTCATTTACTGCTATGAAACTAGGATAAAGCAGCCAGAAGCAAGCAGTGCTATAGAGATATCATTTTAAGCCGCTGTTTAGAGGCTAAGACAAAACCCGCAAATCTCACAGCCTCAATTCACCATGTTGCCCTGCCTGTGAGTATTGCTGCGCATATGGATTTCTCTTAAATCCGAGTCTAGTGGCAGCTTTCACAGACCATATGTTGCCCCAGGCACAACGGGATCAGGTGAAGTAAGGACACGGAGTCAGTCTTCTTGTTAGCACCGATTTACATTTCAGCGTTGTTGTAGCAAGGGTCGTTGCAACGTTTGCGGGGCAGAGACAGGCCGGGGGACGAGGATGCAGAGGGGCAAGCGGGGCACGGCTGGGCTCCGTAAGCCCCTGAGCAGCTGCCCCGATGGCTCCCTGGCCTTGCTCTCTGCGAGCGCCCAGGGCAGATGAGTGCCGCGCTGCCCCGAGCGGTGGTGTGCATCTGCTGATCGCCCCGTTGGCTGCGTATTGCCCAAGGGCACCGAGGTTCGCCCTTCATCGCCCCGAGCCTGACGATGCACTCTCCCTGAAACACACGCCTGCGCAAGCTCCATTTCCCGTACCTCAGCTCTGTGTCTTCAAACCTGATCTTTCTGTCACGTAACATTCACCTATGGTCCTCCCACTTGCAACGGAGAGGTTCAATGGCGTTATCACCTTGTTTGTTCACTGCCAATCACATCATGTTACCTACTCCAATATTCTCCATCCCTAGTCATGTTTCTCCTCCTCCTTTGCTTCCTACTGCATCATTCTGCTGCTGCCTTGGGTTCCCCCGTGCCTTTTCCTTTGCATTGTTATCGTTTCTGGTGTCTCTTCATTTATCACCAGTTTGCATTCTGATTTTGAGACTGTTTTTTATTGAACTCTCCTGTCCTCTCCAGTGACTGCTCCTCAGTGTACACATTTCTGTGGGTTGACAAACTCCTCTGATTTGCTTCTCTGGATTAGAAAGCATGCAGTGAAATTTAGAAGTTTGGCTTTGGCACCACAAGACAGACTTGCTCCCACAATCAACTCATCCTGACGTAAGGAGCGTTCAGAGCGAGGCAGGAAGCCTAGCTGTGCTATGAGCAAAGTCCATAAATATTAGAAGCAATTACCTACTTAGCACCAGGGTGAAAAATTACAACTGCAGGTTGTTTCTAATCGCAAAGGCAGGCTAACCAAGCCTGAACATGGCAAGTTGGTAGAGGAATAAAATTTCAGGGTTTTTTTCCAGTTCTGTGAATGTCGTCTTTAACGTACAGTACCACTGAGTCCTGTAATTCAGGCTTCAGCAGCTGGCAGTAAAGGAGTGACATTTCAGAAGATGGAATCTGTAGGTAAACCTCATCTTTAATCCAGCTGGAGGTCATAACTAGTCCCGTAGTCATTATTCTGCTGCTAAGAAGTCTCTCCTGTATGTCAGTCTGAACTCTGAAGCAGACAAAAGGAGTCAGTGGTTGATTTTCACCCCACTTGCAGATGCCGAACCTGGCCCTTTTATGCCAGGTCAGCCCGTAGAGCGATGTGATGAATAGTAGATTTTCCTGAATTATCATGCAAATGTGCTTTACAGCTCTTCTCTTTCTAGCACAAGGAGAATTAGCAAATGGAAGTTTGTCAGCTACTCTGGCTCATCCCAGGCATCTTACTTTCATTCTCTCCTTACCTGTTCCATAAATCACAGCCAGACATGCAGATACCCGGAGCCCCCACCCAGTCAGATGTTCGCTGCTTGCTTTCGCCCCGCGACGTGACAGATGCTTAGCTTTAGTTTGAATTTTCCGTTTCTTAATTCTTCGCGCATCCAGGCGGCCCCTAATGCAAGTCACTAACCGCTGTTTTGCTCTCTTGGCTGCCAAGGAACTACCTTGTTCTGCACTAGCCCCATCCCTCCAACCCTGCTTCTCCCGGCCAGAGAGACCAGCGAACCGGCGCCCACCGTCGCGATGGGCTTCACATTCCCCTACTGCCTCACAGTTGCAGTCCACCGGAGACCTGACTTCCTCGGAGGAGAGCGGAAGCAAGGAGCCACCGGCGGAGACCCCCAGCCAGGGAGGCGA